AATTGAGCGCCTACAACAGATGCGCGTCTCAGTTAATAATGATGTTCAAAACTGTAGATCTTTCATACTTGAACAGGTAATGTCCCTATCCCCCACCGAAATATCCATCTATGAATAAGGTCAATAGCTTTTTCGATGAGTTAGAAGGAAAGAAACGAAAAACCGAATCAATTACTGATGATCGGATAAAAGATTCCATCATGGAACTGATGGGAATTCTAGAGAGAATAGACTGTTTTATAGGAGAAATTGATACTTGCAAGAGAACGGTTGCAAAATTAAACAACCTTCTGACGCGAGAAGACAAGGAAGAATGGAAAGAAAGTTCCAAGATCTGATGAACCAGGATGAAGTTTCTCTCGTTTTGCTGCATAAATTTCTCAGTCAGCTTATCAGTGACTCCAGCTGGGAACAAATTGTGCTATTGAAATGAAACTACGATCTGATAAACATTGTTTGTAATTGACACATTTTTTCAACTTATTCTCTGGATACTTGTTAGATGAAAAGTCTTGTTAAGTATAACTTTGTTTCAAATAAACAAAATCTGTGAAAGATTGTGTATGCTGAATGCTTAATATAAATTAATCTGCAGCTTAAGTTATAACCATGGTGAGCTTACTTAAACTCCAGTAAATAAACCAAAGACTAAGTTCCATTTTTTAAATTTCTGTCAATGACACCTGGTTGAATCATTACAACTATTGTATCATACTCGCGACTGCAAATAAATCTCGACTTTTGGCGATAGCACCACATCCGAACTCCGTGAATATAGGGCTGTTAAAATATGATACGTTCAGTTCAGTTCAGTACAATTCTCACAGGAAAACTTGTGGCTCTTGTCAATCGAACGTCCAGATTCGCGTGATGCCGGCGAGTTTTTTTGGTTACCAACACTTCGATATGCCATTTTTCTGATAGGCAGAATAGTATGGTTAGATCATAGGTGGCACTAAACGCTTACCTCGGGGAAAACCGCTATCCAACACTCAACAAGTGTCTTTTTAAACGCATCTACAGTACTGCAGCTTACCACTGCCGGCGGCAACCGGCTCCACAACGGAATTACCCTGTTAATGAAAAACTTTGCCCTTAATTGCAGCCTAGAGTGGTTGCGCTGCAAACCTAAGTTATGTCCCCGCATGCTTCTATGCGGAACCCACGAGAACAGGTCATCAAACCCAAGGCCTGAGAAACCTTTGACGATCTTAAATGTCTCGATGTTTGCCAAGGTTGAGNGTGTCGCACACAGTGGCGCTCGTGCATCCACTCATTATTCCCCTAGCACCATTCTATACGAATTCCCCATCTTCCGCTTGAATTTTCTTTCAACATTCCAATCTTCATTCAGCTCTTTTATCCCAATGGGGCACCAAAAGACAGCAACCAAAACCGGCGCACGAGAGTGCATGGTTAATGGTTGTAAAAACTGAACTGAACTGAACTCCTCTCATCCGCCTCCATTTGAGGAAGAACAGATTTAAATCTCTCAGCCACTGTTCATAGCTTTTCCCCCGTTGCCCAGCTATCATCCTCGTGGCTAGACGTTGAACCTTCTTGGTGTCTTTTCGAAAGAACGGAGCCCAAGTCTGCATGCAGTATTCCAGATGAGGGTGAACGATGGTTTTGTATGGGNTTGTATGGGGAGACGAAAACCTCGGGTTTTCTGCACGCCATGGTTGCGCATAGACGAAACAGTTGTCCCCTGGCTTTGTTTGAAGTCCCGCGTTACCACTATGCCTAGATCCTTTGCATCAGCAGGCCTCTTTCTGTCTCTTCGTCAGTATCTGACATTTCGAGACGTTCAGTGGTAGGTGTTTACCATCCGTTCAGAAAGACAACTAACAAGCATATTTCGCTTAATGACCAACCAACCCAGACACAATTTTGAAGGTGATCGGTTCCTAATCACTTTGCTTCAATATTTTAACTTCGACCGTGGCTACCGAGGTTGACGACCTCCACCTGATGAAACGAATACCCGATACAACCATCGCGAGCTCATCAGCAGCAACGGAAAAGCTTTGCATTCAAACATAGCACAGTAACGTCACCTGATGCATTTGATGACAAAAGCGGAAATATGTCAAAGCAACGCTCGGCCAATAAAGTCCAAAAAATTAAGGTGGTACAGGAGCAATGCTAAAGCTGACACTACAAATATCGAGCTTATTTGATCTTCAACGGACCTACATTGACCGAATTTTCATCGCTAACGATTGGCATAAATCCATTCCTTAATACCACCCTCATCGATCGGAGTATGCAGACACAGATCAGGCTCTGATACAAACTGGGTTTTATACTTATCTATTAGGCAATCCTTGAAAAACGGCATTCGCCCATGACCATAACCTTTACTTGCAAACCAATTTTTGAAGCAGAGGTGCGCAACTACCTCTCAGCAAAACCACTTGTAAAATAACTCGGTGATCATTCAACGCTAATGAAGGTAGCTATTTGGGGAAATGTTGGCAAAACGATTAACTATTACATTTCTCTGGTTTTTGCTGCCTTGAGAATTGTTTAGAACTGTTACTCTAAATACCAAATATAACGCTGTACAAGAATTCCTGACATACAAGAATAAGCACAGGTAGAGAACATTCCGGTAAATTGCTGCATTCACAATATTTTACGTTGGATAAGAAGTATGGATCCGAAAGCACTAGACGTTAGATGACTATTTTTCTGATGTTGCTCTGAGTCACCTTAGGCAACAGTCTGAAAAGTGAGGTAAGGCAACTTGGGCCACTGTCTAAATGCTTTTGATAGACATTCGGTTTACGCAACTTCAGTTCTAACAATTTACTTTACGGCGGCTAGCTCCTGGGAAGGGATAAGCCGGCTTCATGGATATTAAGTGAATATCCATGAAATTTCTTGGGAGTTAAGTACAGGAAACGTCCCCAGCGTCACCCGACTTTGGGTGAAGGTGGCACCGCTAGTCTTTGCACATCCAAATGCTAACTTCAAGGCAGTAGGGAGGTAGCGCATGGTTGCCGGTGGCCCGCTGGGCCATTGACAGTTTCTAACTGAACAGGGGTTCATGCATCCCTGATGGGCACAGAGTTGTTGCCTTGATTGTTGAGTCATGAAAACGACTTCGTCCGCGAGTTACAAAAACTGTAAGATTTGGGCAGTCGCGTGTTTAAGGGCAGAGATGTCATCCGCGAACTGCAACTAGTATGACCACAATCCAGCAAATCACTCAATAAAGAAATTGCGATGTTCACTAGAAACATATGAATTACAAACCGTCTATAACGTACGCGTGTGCATCAGCAGTTGACAATTTAGCGAATAGTACCATGCGGAGTATAAAAGGTGAAAATGGCACAATGCAATCTATCATCAACCGTCTCGATTACTATTATCGTACATTATCCAGTGGAACTTTCTAACAACTATATGCTTGAGTGCTGGATACCCGTATACCCGTATATACCCCCACCGAGGCCAGGTCGAACACACAGTCATCCCTCTACACCTACTATAGTTATCCGTCTGGACGTAGCACCCATCAACTGCTNACCGCAAGAAAGTTCCAAAGGGTTGTCGATCTCGATAGACTGACTGAAACTTTAGAAATGTGCTTCCGTTGAATGTTCAGTTTCAACCCTTTCAAAATATCATTATACCACTTTCACCAACTCCGTTATTCAAATTACTGTGATGTGGCTGCTATCAAACAGTTTCGACTACCATGCGTAATCTAATGAATTTTGTCGAAAGATCTAGTGTTTAGTGTAGTCTGATAGTGGAATTGGAAAGTTTCTGTTTTTCATGCTAAATCCAGAAACCTTGACTATTTTTAAGATAGTTCAAAACTTGCGCTCGAATGCTCCTGAAATATTGACGCTTTCTGTAACAACGAATAAGTGTAGATGGTGAATGTTTGGACTAGCCTATTCGATTTTTCACAGGTACCAGGCACTGTTGATGATTTTGGTTGTAGGTTACACTCCTTTGGAGATCACTAAGCCCTCACTGTTTGTATGTATTTAAATGCGATTGAAATGTTTGTAATAACCAAAAAAGAGCACTGGACAGCTGTTTCATCCTGTTTGGGACTCGACAGCATTGCATACTTTTTGTGTCCCTTTCAGGACGAATAAGTGTTTTAAAACAATACGGACGGTTCATATTCGAAATAAATTAATTTTGAATAAATACTTTTGATTTATTTGACCGTTTTCACCATCAAAAACCAAGGTGCGGCCTAGAAATTTGAACTGGTAGGCTTGAAGGATTACCTGACGATAAAAACTTGAACACTACATTCCGAGGCTACTTGACTCTCAGACAATTCGCAAAATTTCTCGACCCTTATTTTCTCCGGCATTTAACTACTACTTTGTTCAGATGTCTCAAGGGAGCTCTTCGGTACAGATCAAGCGTATCTCTATTTTTTATCAACCAGTATATGAGAAAATTACTTTCGGCTACATTGAGAACCCAGAAAATTCACAAATGAAGGTGTTCCACAAATGTTCGCTTGTGATCGAATCCGAATGTAACAGTACTTCTCGTATCTTGTATCCACTTCGAGCAGCGATTCCTGATTTGATTCACAAACCACTGGCCGATATCTCATATTGCTTAGCGCTGCAAGCTACGAACGTTTTTTTTAATCACCACAGAAATATCCCCATCATGTTTATATCTTGACTGCACACAAACAAACACGCCAGATGGAGTTTATGTCAGGCATCAATATGGATTTCTGATTCCATAATGAATATGAGCAGCAACTTGATTTCGACCAATGAGGGGAATCACTCAGTGTTCCGTCGCCTTCACCAATCTGCCCTTTCAGTGAGCGCCAGGTTATCAAGTATGCATCGTCATCAGGAGCGCCCGCGAAGCTGTCCAATTTCGAAGAAAAAACGAATAACATCAGGTCGTTCACAGGGATCGAATGAATTAGACAAAATTATGTACAGTAATTCACAGTGAATATCACACTACCCGGGTCCTACTACCACATGAATCACTTATAGTTTGTCGAATAAACTGTTTAATTTGGCCCGAGGTTTCTCTTCGCGATCATACAATCGCCTGGGCAAATTGGTGCGTAACGCAGTTTCCCAATCCCCGTTAGTTGATTTGGCTGTTGCTAGAATTGCATGGATACAGTTCACTGTTAACGTTTTGCTGCTGCCTGAACTCCATTTGAAGTACCGTTCCAACGGTAGTCGGATGCACTCGACTCCTGAAATATAAATTTTGAAAGTTATTAACACCAGAAACATACATATAAACAATTGTGGACATATTTTAACCAAAACTACCGAACTGGTTCAACAATAGTGTTATCGAATGTTTTATAAGAAGCAACCGAATTTGTGCTTCTCAGGAGGACAAGGACTGCAAACGTACACGCTCCCACGATCACAGCCCACTAAAGATCGCAAGTGATAAAATCACCATATCCGTTTAACTTGACTCTTACTGCTCTAACTGCAGTCACTAGTGGTCAACGGCATTTACCTTTCCTTGTGTCTTTATGCCAGATTAAGAAAGCTTCTGGAAAAGGCTGTAAACATTAGTTATATTCTTGTTTAGATTGAATTAATTTCAGTAGTATACTTCTAACCGTTTGCATCCAGTGACTTCTCGATATTAAATTAGCTTACGGGAAAAAATCGATTAGTCATAGTAAAGCGGAGAATAACTAACTGCTCTCTTCAATATGATTACCACAATGGAAGAGATGCGAAATAAGTTGACAAAATATCGAAAATCGGTTCTCGTAGCTCGGGTGAACTGAATTCCATTTCGCCTGTTCGCCGAGCTTAGCAATTTGTTTGCAAACGTTTCATCACCAGCCGAGGTGACATCATCAGTGCTTGTGAAGTGGCCACTTCACAGGCGAACAGGAGAAATGGAATGCGAAATAAGTGTATCTTAATTGTGATTGGAGGGATTTTTATATTATTCAGAGGGGTATCACGGTTGTTAAAAAATTAACTTTGAAAAAAATAAAAACCTGCCAAAAGATATAAAAATAGTGAATTCTGATCAAAGAATCTGCTCCAACAAATATCGTTAGAACAAGCACAAAGCACATTCAACGAATTTTCCCGGACTGTCTTGTGAGATACTCACTAAGACTGCTATGAGTTCGGTTAGTTCTGTTGTACTGTGCGAGGACACTTGCTACTCGTAGAGAATAGAAACTGTTAGTGAGACAGAGTGAAGAGTAATCAAAATAGATTCATCATATGTATTGGGAGTCAAACGACGGAGTTCGTTAAAACAATTAAGGTCGATCACGTTGCTCACAGAAGCAGAAGGACCGAAGTGAGATCACACAGGAGCCAGGCTGAAAATTGTTCGAAATGAAACACTTGTGTATTTTTTCATTGCACCGCGCCTTATTTACGGCTACTGCCACAGGATGAAGATCACGTGAAGGTCAACAGGTGATGTGTAGACCAGGTAGGAAGATATACACACCGAGATTAGTTCAAGTATGCCTATTTCATCTTTCAAATACGAAAATACGAAAGGACATGACAGAGAACCGATAGAAGAGTTGTTCTCGTTGTCATCCCTTCTTAAACCAGAATATCGGAAAAGACCCGTGTACACAGGTAGACGGTGTACTCTGTGTGGTGACCATAGCAAATCACATTCTTTTTCGCCTTCCTTCAAATCAGGTCCACTCCCCAACACTACCCTAAGCACTCGGGACGGTTTCGTACACACACATAATGAGTTCGGCAGTAACCAGCGAAGTTCACTTTAGTTTATTTTGCTGAACGATGATGATGGCACAAGACGGTTATTGCCTAGTTATCATTAGAGGGTGCTAGGAGATATTCAACGAAAATATCCATATCAATACTATTACCGTAATTGTAGTGCTGACAGGTGCAACTGCTTTGATCGATAGAAAAAAACACTAAGAATATTTACAGAAAACGTACCAGAACGCCGAGCTTTGGCAAATGTGACCGGTCTTCGGATAATTTTATCGACGATCGCCCCAACCACATAGACTGCATTGTGATCCCACTCCCCGGGCTCGAAAGCACGATGGGCATTTGGAGTGAGATATATCACTGGACGATCGGGATCATTCAGGGGGAAATCTTTTGAATAGTGGTTTGGTGATATTGTCCACGGGAAATCTTCAAGTCGATGAATTCTTGATTCCTATGTGATGTCCAGAACAATAAAGGCGTTTGCTTTAAACTCAACTGATGAAAAACAAGTACTTTGGAAAGAACTAAATAAATAAGCATACTTCGAAATCGATATTATACTTCCAAAGAGTACGAAAAATATGAGAAGCAGAATAAATTGACTCTGAAAGTTGTTCAATGCAAGGAAGCATGAAAATGATGGCTCATGGGAGTCCAGCGATTGTGCATTTACCGGCTATGATAATCCTATGTATCAAACTACCATCTCATGAATTCTTGATTTTCATTCTCAAGTTTTTCGAGTGCTTGCGTCGGACAATTGGACATTTTAGATGTGCAGCGGCTGCAAACGAAATCAGTGCGGATCGTGGTTTAATCTGAGTTCTACATCCGATCTCCATGAGCGGCGTTAGCCTAGGAATCCCACATTAAACTCAACCGTGTTTCCATATGTTGTAAGGTGCTGACCCGGATAGAGATGGAAGAATCACGGGAGAGCGATATAAAAGAAAGTGTTTCTAACACAAATTAGCGTTTTTTATCGGAGTTTCACCTTTAGCGTTGATCACAAAAGCGCTCGGACTCATTTATTGTGCTATCGCGCAGCGAAATATGGGAATAAACTTCCAACCACTATGATAAAGGGAAAATCTGTCGCCGAATTCAAACAACTGCTGAGACGAGGTGTTCCAGGAGCATACTGGACCGCAGACACACAAGGTAATTTTTACCTTTCACTCTTTCATTCCGTTCCCAAGATGTTTCATATGCACTACCAAACAAACAGCCCGAAAGCCCTCGGAGGGTGGGGGGGCTTTTAAGACAGGTATGTTAGCCCTCCGAGGTGGGATGGTGCCTGATTGAAACTGTCGGTTCCCGATTCACTGCTTTCCTTGCCAGTTCAATATTCAACATACAACCATCGGATTATCTGCCAGCTGAAACCCAGTGAGAACCAGAAGCTCACAAGTGCAACCATACTCCGGATAAAACTGTACGTCCTGTGAACTGACCTGAACGAAATAGCACGTGGGAAATATAAGACAGTGGAAGTATGCCTCTTAAGAGTTTTGGCTACCCCCAACATCGGTTAGCTTACCTGCGGCCGGTTTGCCGTAGTATATGACTATTGTCCACCGGGGCGTCTAATGCGGAGGCCGGAATGTCAGGTAATGACCTAAAATGAGGAAGGGGGCACTAAGGGAACACGATAACCCTCTAATAAGAGATATTTTTTGTCCGTCTCCCGATATACCCTTTCTAGGCAATTTCTCGTCTCGGTAGATTTATCTCCGCCTATCAAATCCTCTATTCACGTCTTTTTCACTGACCGACCGAATCAGTAGTCATGAAAGAGTAACCGAAACCGGTCTGAGATAGCGCAAAGTTAACTGAAACCGATCTCAATACCACCGCCCAAATTCTTCATTTTTGTATTTCTCCAGGTAACCTTTGTATGGCCGCGGCCTTCTTCTGTCCATTCTTTTCATGAAGAACGAAAATTTGACAAACGAATCTTGTACTTTAAACACTTTACAAAAATGTTGTTCAGTCAATTGCTATCTACTTTAAACTATAACATTTACTAACGCACTTTCGTGTACCCGTTTATTGAAGGCAGAGCTGCATGTTACTTGGGACATCCCAGGATTGAAGTTGGGGCAGATGCCAAATCGGTAGTTCGATGAGAATAAGGTGAGTTCAGGTCCATTGTTTAATAGACACAGGCGATCTTGCTGTAATTTTGGACCAGAGTGCTTGGGAAGGCTTGTTTCTGTTTGCAGTTTTGAAAACCATGAACTATGCACTTTCCTGTGGCGATTTTGTTTTCTGCTGCCCATGTCGACAAAAAACGGAAAGACCAATAAGTTGAAAGAAGTGTCAAAGAAAAAATTGGGTCTTGTGTGTACGAGTCGATGAGGGAGGAAGGCTTGAATCGACCTCCTCCAGCGGTAACTGATGGCGATGTGGTCGACTTGGGTCCATCGCTGTGAATTAGTTGGCGATTTTCAAGCGAGGCGGTGTCGTTTCTTGTGCGAGAAGTTCTTGTTTGGCAGGATCAATCAATGGTCCGTGCAGAGTTTAGGTAGACGATCCCATTGTCCGTCCGGTTGGCTAGGAATGTGAGGTCCGTCTAGGCACCTTTCTGATTTATTCAGGGATCCCACTTGAGCATCGAATTTGATGGAACGCTTAAGAATAATTGAGAAGGATCATTTTACAATCTATCCTTAATTTCAGGTGCACTGCAACCGGTCGGTGCCTAACCCGGAACGACGAATAATCGACACCGCAATTCTGTTGCTGTTGACCTGTGCTGAACCGTAGAGATCTACAGCATATAGTCGGATGGTGACTGGAATCCAGTCAAGAAGAGAGCGTTCGGCTTTGACACTTAAAGCAATCCCAACACCAGCAACACCGCGAGCGCCGGAAGCCGAATCGCCTGGTACACGAAGAGTAAAGTGTGAGGATGCGGTTGGGTCAGAAGTATGCTGATTTATGGTTAAACCAGGGTCTTGTACGGGTATTTCGGGGACAACTTAAGTCCAAATTGAAAGTCTCAAGGGCTCTAGCTAAGGCAGCTTGTTGGCCAATCTGATTGAGCGTGCGAACATTGGATGCGGCCAAGTGAAGAGGAGATTTAAGCTTCAGCAAGTAGTTTTTGAGTGGTTGACTTTATGGGTTAAGTGCTGAGAGATCCTATGAGAACCGTAAACAGGAGGCATCTAGAATGATTCGGGAGAGGAAAAGCTCGACAGATGAGGAGGTTTCTCCAGATGGGTACCTAGGATTTTAGGGCACGATATTGTATGCAGTAGCCCATACCGATGAAGGCAGAAAGGTTTGCACGCACGCACACACAGTGAGACTGTGTAACCTGTGATGAACATAGTGGCTCGTGTTCTCTAACTCCTTCCCTAAAATTGATTCTCTAATCATCTTGCACATCCCGACTCACGGTGCACACATTATGGGCTTGGCTGTTACCAGAAAAGTGCGATAATGACACAATAAGGTGGAGTTTTGTCTGGCGCATGAAACTCAAGATGACGCTGTGACGTAGAGAATGTGACTCGCTATTGGTATGGAGACTACCTCTTAATCTATTTCATTTACTCCACAGAGCTTTCCGGAGGAGGCAAATGAACCGAACTACTGCCCCCCCCCCTCTCTCTAGCTTGTCTGGAACAACCCTGTCACATCGTACATTCTATTGGGATGTACAGAGGCTAGATATGCAACGTCGAACTAGAAGACCGAACAGGGGCCGGAGGTTACACTGGCAACCCTAGGCCTGAGGATCTCCATGAACGATTGTGATGATACACGAAGTCGATCGACCTTCTAGCAGGATATTGCAATGTTAGACTGATGCAGGTTTGTCGAAGGAAGTCGAGTAGGGCAAAAAATGATTTCGCAGATTGAGGACGAACATACTAAATTGTTCCCACCATATCAAGAACGCGTGCGGCACTCTGATTGCCACCAACGAAGAACGACTCGAGAAGAAACAATGCATACGAGAAAACTTTATCAAATAACAAGGACCTTAAATCATGAGCCCTAAAATAATATGGAAATGAATTTGCCCAAGATCCGACTTTTCATTACACATTTTTTGTGAAGAACAGCAGACGGGAGGACCCCATATTCACGAAGATCTTCTGTTCAGTGATAGAAACTGGCAACCTAAGCCCCGGAACTTGTAATGGTGATCCACATAAGGCCCCGCTAAGTTAGGGGTGGTATTGAACCGGACGACAGCAAAACTGGCTATCTAGGACGTATATGGTCAAAGGGTGATAGTGTTGTTATGTGCTACATTAACTGAATGAACAAAAACTCATTTTGGACAGATTAAAGATCAGTCGCAGTTTTCACAACCTGCTCTGTCATGCGAAAAAGTATTTTAAATAAGCATCCACAAAATTCGTGAACAGTAAAAAGCAGTCGAGAGGAATGAATCTCTTTCGATTTCGTCGGTTCACATAGATTGAGAGAAACAGAACGATTAGAAATGATGTAGAATGATTATAGCTCGGGATGTAGATGTTGGTGAGTTCTCCCAGCTGGAAGTATAGTTCGCATGGATGCTAAGAAGAACGTCTTCGAACTGGACAACGCAAGAATAATCGGAAGAGGAAACACCAAGTCAGCACAGGAATTCATCGAAGCATGGCACTCCAGGACGAACAGTATAAGTAAGCATGTAGAACTGGAACCTATCTATCACTATCTAAGGAAATACTGGTGACGCGAGGCTGTCTTAGCTAGAACTAGTCTAAAAGCAGCCCTAACCNGTTTGGAACCCGTTTGCGGTTGGTCTAAGAAAGCCAATCGATCAATGATAAAAAAGGATAGTCACCATGACAACGAAACAGTCAATCAAATCACAGCAAACCGTTGCTATTGACCAATAGGATTAAAGGGAGGCAAACAGCCAATAGAAACCCTCAAACAGAACTATATACGCCCAATCCCAAAGAAGACTGGAGATTCCCCGAATTCGCACCGAGAAGGTTGCCTAGCTTGGATACGAAACTTCTGTGAACAACACTTCCAGCTCGAAGAGCTCACTAACACCGACAAACAGAATGATCGAACGAGGCGAGCAGCTTTAACAAACATACATGATTTCGCAATGACAAAAGTAGAATTTGTCTATCGTCCTCGGGTGTTTTAGAACAGGAAACACAGCTCATGCACGTAAACTACAGAAAGCATTTATGATTATTCGAACATGTCATCCCATACAAAAAAAGTCGATTTCGACTTATGCTAATTCACTTTTTCTTACATCCCATGTTATTGACCAATTTTTATACGGGGAAGTCATGTCACCAGTAAAACCCAAAACAAACCTCATACTTCACTCCAAATTCCTGCTCCATAAAACTGTACTGATTGGAGCCCGGTTTGAGACCGCAAAGCCAAAGATGAAATGGGTATGGTCGCATTCGGCGTGTGCACTGCATAGCATATGCCAACTGGCTGGCTAAATTTTTCTGGTCTTGTAGTCTCATCTCAGACTCATGAGTGAAATCAAAAACCAATGGCTGTGCTGACTCCGGACACCGGATTTCCGCCCACATGTATGCTTCGTCATGGTAACGGTTACACCTTGGGTCCACAACGCGAATAATTCGACCATCACTCGTCGGCGTTGAATCAGATGGCTCCTCTTGCGACTACACAATACCGACAAACAGGAAATACGTGCCAATAAAACATGTGATCAACCAATAACAGGTACCTGGAATAAAGCGGGATATAAGTAAAAGTTGCAGCTACTTTTTTCATCGTAAACCGCTAAAACAACATAACAGGTAAGGAAGTATTCCCAAATATACGATACTGAAATTTATTTATTCGTGGTTTCTTTTAAAATGCAGTCTCCTTCAAAACCCTTAAATCGTCTACACAGGATATGAAGGAAATGCTTCATTTGGAAGTACACCGTTGCTGGTAAATCAGGAACAAAAATGACTCCCTAGAGGAGTTGCAAAAACGCAACTCCTCACTGCACTAGAAAATGCAGACAAATAAACTGGGATACGATCTTTGCACACGCGCATAAGGCTGACTGACAAACCCATTCTGAAAGGGTTCCAAATGGTGCATGCGCACCAGGCCTCATTACACATGTGAAACTACGAACACTTGGATTCAAATGCTGCTAAGCGGTACGGTTCAACCATAAAGTCTCAATTCACCCGTTCACAAGCTAGTCAGGAGAAGTTATTTTTAGACCCAGGCAACTGCAACAACGATGAAGTTGTGTGTGATTCGGACGCCTCCTCATGGTTGGCTTGGAATCAGGGTTTTTAGCCAACTGACAGTGGTTCACCAACTCAGTTATAGCCCCGGATATCGGTTTATCGTCCTCTCACTTTTTGAGAAAACACCTCCGCCACGAATAGGCAGTGCGTAGGGCTTTCTCAGCAGAAGCTATTTGAGGCGCTTGGTCGTACGGGAGCATTTCGCGTGGTGCAAGGAGAGGTTAAGCAGCCACAACCCTAGATAGCCNCATGAGTTTTACCCCCGCAGTTCCATCGGTGATCTAACTACTAGCTCTTGGTCTCCCAAAAGCTTGGCTCACTATCACCAACCGCTCCCCATCCCCCCATCCTCCTAAGTTATTGAAACTATGGAATATTTCATTTTCACACTGATGTCGTAGTCACATCCCCTCATGCATTATCAACTCTTTAAAAGCAGAATGATGAAACTGGAACTGTGACCCCGATTGACGTAGAAATGTTAGATCAGTAAGCCAAAGAAAACTTTAAAATTTTCAGTTTTACAATCGTTCGGGTTGCGGTTTTGTGTGACGGTTTTAAGTGCTGCTTTTTGGCTGAACAAAACTCAAACTTTGGTAAAAAAAAAATAGACCGTATAAAAAGCAAAGATTACTACAAGAAAATATGGATAAGAGGACGAAAACACGGGAGACCTTTATCCCTCAGGAAATTTATTTGTCACTCACTGTGTTAACTAAAACTTTATTTGGTACTGGAGAACCATGATAAGATAAATTAAAAAGTTAAGGGGGAATGAAAAGTGTTTAATGAGATCGTTTTGATAGATGAGTGGAATGCAGGTAACCAAGAGGAACGTGGAACCGTGCGAAGCTCGTTAGCAAAATTTTTACTATTTTTGATGTGACTACCTTTTTGTTACACATAGTTGTGAAAGGCCATTACAAGCGCGCACACGGATCTACTGTCCATTCAACCTATGACTTCGAGTAGGAAAACACATAGAGCTGATGTGGTATTTAGGCGGACGACATTGGTTTGATGAGTCAAAAGAAGAAACACGAAAAATGACAGCTAAATCGAGGCGTAGGGTACGGAAGTTCTTGCTGAGCTTCATTCGTCGAGAACCGTCGAAGGTATTGCGGTGCCGTAACGGAAAAAGCCAAATACACTGACCACAAGATGGTGTTTGTCTCAAGATTTTTCTTTCGCTACGATAAACATCTCACTCGCAAGACGGTCAATAGTTCTGACCTATCACTTTTAACGTTCAAGCGTTTTTAAACGCTTTGGCCTCGAAACCGGCTCCTGCCCTTGTCGATAAGGATGCAAATGCGCGATGGACAGCGCTAAAATCATTTATCAAAGGAGCTGCCACTGAACAACTTGCAAAAGACTTCAGCATATAAAGTAGCGGATCTTTGAAGAAACTGTTAATTGATGTGCCAAAGCTAGGGATGCAAAACTTCAAACTTACGAAATCTCCACAAATCCTGCCGCAAAGCACCACGATTTGCAAGGAATGACCGTATTCGATATCAGTTTGGATTTACAGCGAGGACGGAAACAGCGTATTGGTGTTGGGAACCTCAGGAAGCTTTTCTGACTCAAGCCTGTTGTGCCGAAAGACAGCACGACAGACAGTTTTAGGTAAATGCAGAAGAAAGCCCAATACTTGAAGCAGGAGAACCTCGAAGCTCACGAAACCGATGCATTAGTTTGAGCAGCCACTCCGGTGACATTACCTGGCCTGAATAATCAATACTAGTAATGTTTTATTACATATCTAAGTGTGATGAACAGCAGATGGCGCGAACCCCGTAGTTACGAAGACCTGCTGTTCATCGGTGGAAACCGGCAACTCAAGCCCCGAGACTTATAGTGACAAACCACATAAGGCCCCGCTAGGTTAGGCGTGGTACTGAACCGGAAGACAGCAAAGCTGCTTACCATCCAAATAGCTATAGGATGGAAGCCATGCATAGTTTAGTGAAATGAACACCAAATAGATACATTTCAAATTCGAATTAACGCTAAGGTCGTCAGAATCAATTTTTTGATTCTGACGATCGTATCCCGATAATAATCAAACAGAATTAAACTTTACCTTCTGGGCCTTCCTGGCTGCGCGATTTTCACGACGCATCTGTCGTTTGAAGAAAAATTCATGCAAACGAATGCGTGACGTGTATGACTGACAGCAGAGCAACTCTAATTTCATTTTTGGTGTTAGCGTTGACGGAACCTTTTGACCTCCATCAAACAATAGGCGATGCTCAGATTCCAAGAACTTGAGACGTTCGGAATCCGAAGGCATTAATTTATTCAAAATTTCTTCCGCAGGTACGGTGCGATCAAGAAGATATGGAGAGACAACGATAGGATGAGTAGAAACCCAACGATGAGCGTGAATTGTGCTTGCTACTTTTCCGCGGGGGGTAACGGATGGGATAAGCTGCCTTCCCGATAGAACATACGTGAAGATACGGCGCAGCATTTTTCAGTCTGGAAAACAAATAAGCATTGAATTAAAGTAAAGTAAGTGACGGTTAAGCAACCTCACAGAGAAAAACGTATCATCACAAAATGTAGAAATGTTTACTGCATATTATATATATATATATATATATATATATACGGTTATCAACGGCAGGAATTTTTAACACTCCTAAAATTAAGTTGTCGTTTAAGGTTTTGCAAAAGACAGAGCAACACCGACGCACGAAAGGTCTAGCCCTCCGTGCAAACAGAATGGAGCACTACAAACAGGGAATTTAGTTGCAGCTTGTAGTGCATGGAAAGAGACTACGGTGAAGTGTGAAGAACCAGCAACATAGGTTACAAGTTGCGAAAGCNGAACCAAATGGGGAGGAATATATGGGGGTTGAGGAGGCTTTTGGAATGACGACAAGTCATTTCTAGGTAGAAAATCGGAATGGCTTGGGAAATGAAGGAAACCGCTAACACATCCATGCACCCCGCAAAAACGGGGTAACACCTAGGGCATTACGCCTGAGGATCCCCTCAAAATGATTTACCCGCAGGCACGATCGAGCAGACAGTCACATTGAGGTATACCAATGCTTGAAGCGTACCGGAAAACGAGGGGAGAGACGAGCTCTCAAGGTATAGCCAGTTACCATAACTGAATCTTGGATGCGAAGGGACCACGCCACCCCACGGATGAGTGACCACACAATTTATAGACAAGATAGGATCGATGGTA